GCGCTACCGCTTGAGCCACATCCCCAGCCCCCAGGATCTGTGGGACTTTTATGGAAGGAAAGAAAGAAAGGGAGAAAACCCTCCCACACTTAATAAACAAGCATTATCCCAAACTTTTCTCCATTCTGTTACCCTGGAAACCCAACTGCTCTTCCCATAGAAGCCATTTTGCCCCCGTTTCTCCTCTTTAACTGGTGTTTTTTGTTTTGTTTTGTTCTGGTACAGGGGTCTGAACCCAGGAGTGCTGTTTATATTTTACTTAGAGACAGGGTCTTGCTAAGTTGCTTAGGGCCTTGCTAAATGGCTGAGGCTGGCTTTGAACTCTGGATCCTCCTGCCTGGGCCTCACACTGAGCTCCTCTTCAACTATTTAGAAGCCACTTTTGGGTGCTCCATATGCACATGAATAAACTTTGGTGTTTTTTTTTTTTTTTCCTATTGTCAGTTAATTTTASACCTAAGAGGGGACAGATATCCCAGCTCATCATTCTTCCAGGGAACAATTTGGAGGTGTATATTTCATAACCTCCCACAGGTTCTTCAGTGGAATTGAGCGCCCTACCCTTGGCCATAACCTGCCTGTTACTGCAGCCTGSACCATCTGCCTTCCTTTCCCTGCTTCCTCTTCCCAGTGTTCCTGGGACCAACTTCCACATCAATTGCTTGCTTTCAATCCTTCTCTCTTTGCTTGGGGGCRGGGGGAACCCAGCCTAAGATATAARCTGAGAAAGAGTGATTAGAGGAAAATGTAAGTCATGTGTAGACACAAAGAGAAGACAGGTGAAGGAGAAAGTGGTTAGCAAGGGAGTCTTGCTATAAGGACAAAAGCAAGTTTATTTTAGACATTTGGCAAGTGCTGTTCCACTGAGCTGTCATCCCCAACCTAATAACAGCATACTTCTGTAGATTAAAAATGAATGGGGAAATCCAAAACATACTTTTTTTTTTTTTTGCCATGCTGGGAATTGAACCCAGGGACTTATACATGCCAGCTAGGCAAGCCCTTCACCACTGAGCCATACCCTTAGCCTTATATGCTACTTTTATAAATATTATTTGAAAAGGAGATGATATAATAATAATTAGAGGAATACACAAGTATCAGAAGGATTTTATTATAGGCGAGACAAATATGGTTATATACTAAGTGGAACGGGCTAGCAGGAAGGAAAGTTGGAAACACTGGAAAGAAGATGGCTGGTCGGGGCTGGGGATGTGGCTCAAGCGGTAGCACGCTCGCCTGGCATGCGTGYGGCCYGGGTTYGATCCTCAGCACCACATACAMAAAAGAAGATGGCTGGTCAGCGAGTATGTCCATAAAGCAGTGACAGAAAATTGGGACCCAGTGGGAGGATTAACCTCAGACAGGAGAAGAGAAGAAAGACCTTTTCCGTTCAGACAAGAGGAAAGGAAGCAAGGATACTGGCACATAAAGTTCCTCCCAATAGTTTTTGTTTTGCCTTTGTAAGTATGACACAAGCCCAAGAATGAGTGGGAGGGGTCCCTTGAGACTATAAGGGGTTGGCAAGGCTGACTAGAGATAGGGAGAATGCTGACAGGGAGGGTGGCAGTGGAGGGCCTTGGCGAGAGTGACAGCCACGGCTGTACAGTGCACCCCTCCAGCAGCTCCACTGGTCTCCCTGGATAGGAGTAAAATCTGACTGATCCTCTTTTAGGTTTTGCCAAGTAGAGGAGCAGAAGGTTAAAGGTTCTGGGTGATTMATTGAAATTAATTGGGTTGAATAATGGACTCACGGCTAAATAAGGACAGAAATGAAGATGGGAAGGGGCAGAATGTGTGGAGAAGGTAGACACAGGGGTGGGAGGAGGACTGAAAGGGCAAGCTATGATCAGGGATGGAAAACAGTTTAGGATTTCAGAGAGAGCAGTTCTAGAGTGATTCTGACTAATGGCAGTAGGGTGATGGATGTGGGTGCCCTGATAGAGCGAGGATGAAGACAGAGAGGGTGGAGACGGATAGGCTGGGGCTGTTGAGTGGATTATTCACAGGATGTTGAGAGAAGATGGGGGATTGGGAGCAGAGAAGACTGTGAGCCAGAAAAAATGTGGAGGAGAGACCAGAGGATGTGCAGGGAGAGGGTAGAGAGGTGAGAGGAAGAGGGAGACCTCCTGCAGAGGCAGCACAGTAGCACACCTCATCTGTGGGCTCTGCAGCTGGCTTCCTTCGCTGTGACACCTTGCACAAGTTATTTGAGCCTCAGCAGAGGTACAGATCCAGGAGCCCCAAATGTGTGGTATTAGGAGTCAGCCTCACATTATTGTAACAAATGATTGAAAAAAATCAACTTAAAAAGAGAAAAGGTTTGATTTAAGGCTGAATTTGGGGGGTTTCAGTCCATAACCAACGGGTCCTGTGGCAACACAGTACATCATGGTGGGAGCAGGTGGTGGAGTAAGTTGYTCACCTTGAAGTGACTGAGAAACAGGGTGAACAGGACCAGCATGGGGAACAAGTCCACCAGTGACCTAAAAYCTCCCAGTGTGCCCCGCCTCTTAAAAGATTTCCACCACCTCCCAGAARTGCCCCGAGGAAGATCAAACCACTAACACACAGGCCTKTGGGGGACATTCCAGACTCCATCTGTAGCATGTACCACACCTGAAGTCTGGGAATAAAAAAGATGATTCCTGGGGAAAGGCACAGAGGGAAACAAACCATCCTAGTCGACTACAGAGGTATGGAAAAGAGAAGCAGGAGGTTGAGATTGGGGATGGCATTGTAGGCTTGGCGCTTGAGCATGTAAGCAGGTCCTTGAAAGTTCCCTCGGGTCCTCCACCGGATTCTGAAGCTCATGCTTAAGCGGACGGCACTTCCAGGCACACTACTGGAGCACAGGTTCTCATCATTCACTCCAGGGACMACACTGATACTGCTGACATAAATTCATCCCCTCTGCCCTTCCTGTTGGAAATGAAACCTGCCCGTTATCCCTCATACTTTTTCAAAGCCACGTCCTGGAACATAGCCCCAGTGGCCCTAACCACACACTTCCTGCTGGGCATTCATTGCCTTTCCTGATAGCTGTCCAGCTAGGAGCAGGAAGTGGTTGCTATTTAGCTTTGCTTCCACCAAATGCCGGGCTGAGGAGTCYACCCCAGAAACTAGATAATTGCAGATTTTATTGTGAGCATGCTATGACAAAGTAAATCAACACAGGGAAAAACAAAAAACCTTCAGATATCTGCTCTTGCTTGGTTCCGCAGTATTTTTGTGTATTTGAATGTGGGTGCCTTTACAGCCAAGGGTTTGCTATTCATGGTTTTACTTGTACTGAGGTTCCAAATCAAATGGCAATGCACCTTCCCTTTTCAAGTCTATGCTGCCATATGTATTGCTCTCCCTCACCTTCTCTCTCCATCCAAAGCTTTGTGATTAAAAAACAAGTGGAGGGTGGGTGAGGTAGCTCAGAGGAAGAGTGCTTCCTTAGCATGCATGAGGCCCTGGATTCAATCCCCAATGCTGCACAAATAAAAGAGCAGAGAAGGGTTTTTGAATTCTGCTGATGACCAGTTACTGTTTAACTTCTGTGCCTCAGCCTGGCCCTGCTGCCCCTGAGGTGCCAGAGGAGGAAAGGTATAAATGTTCCCAGCTTCCAGCCCTTCCCTCCCAACCAACAGTGGGCTTTTCCACCACACCTCCTGCCATGCCCTGGCAGCAGGTTCCTAGGTCAGAGCCCCAGAGTGRTAACCTGGAAGGGATATATCACCTCTTGCCCCCACCCCACCCCTTTGAATAGACTAGTGTCTAAAATTGCCTTTTTGGAAATACCCACACACACACACACAAAAAAAAAAAAAAAATGCAACAGAACAAAATTATTCTTTTCTTTTTATTCCATAGTCTCAAATTAAGCATACAAGAACAAAAAGCAGTATTACTCAACTACTATAACATAAATAGTTGAGCTTATTTATTCATTAAAATCTATCTAGCGTATCAATATATCAAACGCCCGGCTAGGCTGGGCATCAGTGGTAGCAAAACAAATTAAGACGGGTCGACTCAGCCCTTGGGGAGCTTACAATCTATCGCAGGAAGCAGACAGTCTCAAATTCCATAGATGCCAAGAATGGATAAATCAATACACAAAGTATCCTAAAACCTCGGGGGAGAGGAGCAAGGATGTGACCTATAGGGCTCTTTCCTGGTGGAGATAACAGTTGAGTGAATCTAGGTCAGTGGAATGTGATGAGTAGTAGTTGGCTTCATGATAATTGGGGACTATAAGTGGCACTGAGTAGATGCAGTCAGGGGTAACAGATGTCCTTCAGTGTGTGGGCTTGTCCCACACATTGAGTAACTATTCTGCACCCTGTACGACTTGTCTAATGTCCTGCTGGACATTTATGTAGGACCTATAGCTTGTCTTGAGAGAAAAGAATCCATGTTTCCTCTGAGACAATCTGCAACTTGTCTTGTCCTATTATCCTTACTTCAATGAAGGTAATTTCGCCCTTTCCTTTATCATAGATAAGGTAGATGGTCTGTTATGACTCACCCTAATACTGGTCCACATTCTATTGTCACCCATAATGCTGATCTTTCACTTTCCTGTACTTCTTTACAGGAAGTAACCCCTAGCTAACTCTTAAGTAGTCATGCCTGAGCATTTACATATTGAAATTCACCTTATTTTCATTATAAATTTCTAATTCCCTATATCCAATAGTAGAATTGAGCCATCAAGTTAATATATGAAGAAATTCCTGTGTGTAAGTATGTTGCATTATCTATAAATCATCTCAGGACAGCCAAGGGGATGTTGCAAAACATTGGTTCTGAAAAGGGTGAACAAGTATGATAGAGTAAGTGGTTGCTATGATACAGGCTGGTGGGGCGCTACTGGCAACCAGCACATGAGAACCAAGTATGCTGAGCATCTTGCAATACGATGGACAATTTCTCACAGTGAGAAATTATCAGAAACCCCATACGGATTTTGAATGTCTAATGTCTCGCTAGACATTCACATATAAAATCTACAGCTCGTCTGTAAGAATATCATATTTTCTCTCTTTCGACAATCTGAAAATTTTCTTGCATAGCCTTTCTCTTTGTTATTTCATTCTTTCTCCTATCACATACACACAAGTGTTATCACATGCAAGTAAGTTGTTATATCACTAGTTTTTATTCTAAYGTCCACTCATGTCTCTGTTTTTTCATTTTTCCATGCTTCTTTGTATGCCCTAGCTTCTGATCTACTTTCAAGCTCAAATTTATTTGTTATAAGTAGAAATGAGCATGTGATTACTTCATTATGCCTCCTAGAACTGTAAGGTTGTGCCCAAATTATGGGCATTGTTTGCCTTTTAAATTAATAGTAATATTACTTAAATTTTATTGTATTTCCAGATTGTGTGTAGGTAGAATATATTACCTCTGAAATGTRTTTTGAAGACAACAAAATAGATGTTGCAAAGTATTTATCTTTTTTTTGTTGTTGTTGTTAAAGGCAAAAGTACTCGCTAGGAACCACTGAACTAGATGAAGAGGGCACCAAAGAAATGTGTAGGAGCCAGGATGTCTCACGTAGAAGAAATAAATGATAGAAGGGTAGGGAAGGGAGGATCACATGGGGCCATGATCATGCTTTTGAATTTCATCCTAAAGGTAAAGATCAGATTTGTGTTTGGAAAGAGAATCACTAAGTAAATATTTTAAAATATGGCCAATMTTGCTGCTAAGTAGAGAACAACTTAGAAGGGGACCAAGGGATATTAAAGAGGTAAAATGGGACTTGGGAAAGACTTGGATATGTAGTGGGAGGGACAGCAAGAGTCGAGGATAGCCCCTGGAATTCCGCATGGGTAGATGGGATCCAGTGACACTGTTRACTTGGGGAGGACTGTATTCCTGTGAGGGAGGCAGATGGGCATGTGCAGCTGGAGATGCCTGTAAAATAGCAGACTAGAGCTGCCTAGCAGGCATGTGGAAAGAGCTGGATAAAGGGCACCTCGACAGCACAAGGGTCAAGCCACTCTAAGTGGCTTCATTTAGAGTGCCCATTCAAAATCACGATCAGAGTGAATGACAACAACCGCTCGTGCGAAGCCTTACAGAAAATAACCCTATTGTTAAAAAAAAAAAAAACTTCATGTTATGAGTGGAAACACTTAAACCAAGCAATTATGAAGCTTTTTATACTAATCTAAAACTTAATATGAAATTTTGGCAACTGATATGGAATGTTGACAAAGGAAAATTGGAAGGAAAAAAAAAACTCACTCAAAATAAGGAAGGAAGATATTGGTCCAGGCACCTCAAATGCTCTAAAAATGGACTATACTACAGTACAATTCACTATTTTTATAAAAAGAAGCCCCAGCAGGCACAAGGTCCCTGCTTGGGACTTTATTCTCTTTGTTCAGATTCTGTGCTCACCAATAAACACATCTCACCTCATAAGAGGTCCATCCTTAGGAATGTCCTGCTCCTAATTCCTTGGTGACTCTCAACTCCAGCAAACGACTACAATAGCACTCAGATTCATCATTCCTAGTTATGTGAATATGATTACTGCAGTCCTTCTAAAATACAGACATCTTCATGAAAGCCTGGCATGCAAAATACCTTCTCTGTAATCACATTAGTTAGAATATAAATGTCTACTTGGTCCTCACTATATAAAGAGCCCAAATGGGCTTTGAGCTCTAGTTGCTTGCTTCTTTCTGAGACATACTTGATGGCTCTTATTTATTGCCTCCCAGAATCTTATTATGGAGTCTGTCTTCTGAGTACAGGCAGAGACAGATAAACGTGTCCCCAAATTAGTTTCATCACATGGTACGGTATAGTACTGCGGTTATGTCTATAATAGCATTTATATTTAATTTCCCCCCCTCAGTGTGTCCCTAGGCACTTTTCCCGCAGCTGTTCATAATCTTCCACCCAAGGCTGTAATGTCCTATGTGCTTGTTTGCATAGGTATTATTAGATTTCTCTCAAATTTCCCAAATTAATTTTCTTTAAATTTAACCAAAACGTAACTGTGCTATACGTAAAACTCAAAGCAATGAGAGAGATTAATATAACTGTAGAAAATTTAGAAATGAGCCTTGACCAGTTACAGCTAAGACAATGCAAAATTTCTAGCATGCTGGAATCATTTCGAGAGCTATAAAAAAATGCCACTACTTGGCTGTCACCCCTGGAAAGAGTGATTTTATCAGAGTGAGGCGCATCGGAATTTTTGTGCAGCAAAATTTGGGTACCACTGAATTAAGACATTAGGTAACTTGATAAGAAAATATTAAAAGTCTAACTATTACCGGGACAAGTTGGTCCCACATGTGAACAGAATTGGTGTGCATCCTTCCTAACAAATCACGCAGGCTTTATCCATCTCAGTGTATTCAATCACATATGCTGGGTACATCTGATCCTTATGAAAGATGACAAAAACGGAGGGATTCACAGTGTTATCCACACAGCTGTCACTGCGTGGAGGAGGCATCGTATACGTCATTCTTCCCTCGGCAACATTTCCAACCAGGACTCGGGCTACAAACATAACCGGGCTTCTACCATCATCCGGGCAATTTTTATGGGAAGAGAGGGCTTCTTTTGCAAAGTGATTTCCTAGAAATAATCAGAAAAAGTTTTGAGAATTATTATGAAGAAGGTACATAGTATATAAAGAAAGGATTTTTTACACAGAATCAGATGATTGGGTGGACTAAGCATATGTCAACAGTATCTTACTGATCTATAAACCCACCTTTGTAAAGAAGGGTAGAAAAAAAGCCACTTAAACAAATATTTATGACATGAGTATCCTTAGATAGCACAGCACCCCCCTGAAATAACAGGGAAACATCTGCTATGGATGAGGCTCACAGTGATAGGGAGAGCCAGTAGGTGCAATGACCATATGGTGACAGCACAGGAATCCCATCCAAGCAACTCACACAGGGCGAGTTGGACGAATTAATTTGGAACCCATGAGCCAGAGATCCAGTCCACACGCCAYACATTTTTAGGAACAAAGGTCAATTACTACTGATAGATAGGTCTTGGAAAGTGTCCAAAAAAGGGCAAGAAATTATCCCTGACAAAGATTTCCAAAGAAAGCTGATGCATCATCCTAACTTTAGAATACCCCAGATGACCACGGAGATTTCCATACCCAGCAGATCAACAATTTCCTGACAAGAGAAAATTTCCTATTTTCATTTTATGAAAATTTTTAGAAAATTTCCTATTTCATTTCTTTTTCTGCCATTTTAGCTGGGTGACTCCCAGAAAGAACAGAAGCTGTCAGGAGCAAGGCTAAGGCCCTCACTCAATCTCCAAGTCAACTGAACCATTCTAATCTGTGCATTTAAGGCTACTGTGAGCTTATTTTCTATGATTACTAAAGCCTGGACATGCTATAAAAACAATTACATACACCTCTTACTAGAAGCACTTAGAAAGTCTGATTATGACTCTACTAGTTAACATCTCTGTTCCAGCACACACCTCTTCCATATTTGATTTCATGAAGTCCATGCACAGACCAGTTGAAATTATTAGAACAAATAGAATCCACATTGGTACGGCTTGTTGCATAAAACAGCAATTTTTCTTCTGTCTGCATCTCCGATTTCTTCCTAATATTGGAAATGACAAGACTTAACACCAAGAACATTCCTCTCCCAGTCTATTTCACAACATTAATCCCAACTGAAGTCTAATCATTTAAATTTCATTCCATTCYATTTCAAAATGGAAAACTTAGGCAGTGGCTATAAAATGATAAATTTATGRAGACATTTAAAGAATAGACTTATAGAATCATTAAACTGTAAAATTGGAAAGCTGAGATTTTTAGGCAATGAAAAAAAAGAGACCAAATATTAGAGTAGTTATGTGACCACTAAATTAAACCAGCAAATATACATTTTGTCAGATCAGAACCAATCCTTCCAAATTCTATGGAAAGCAGTATGATCACATGGCCACCAACCTTTCAAAATTCTTCTCCAGCTCTTGGTTATGGATCTTCTTTATCCTTTCAATCTTGAAATTTTTCATGGAAGCTTTAAAATAGTCACTTATGTTGGCATATTCTGCGCTTAGGCTTTCGAGCTCCTCCAACTAAAAAAAAWWTTTTTAAATATATTAATGTGAAGCAGGAAACATTGGAAGCATGGTACATCTATCAGTGTGGCCCCTATGCAATAAGGGTCATTGCCAGTTCCCAACAGCTGGGGGATAGCCTGGATCAGGGGGTTCATTCCAGGTGTGGACACCCAACTAGACAGTGGGCCTAACGGTTCAGGTGACTTCAGGCCAACTAAGCACTATACCTAAGGACAACAGGATGTCCCTGGCACTGATTTAGCCTAGTGGCTTTACAAGTCCCTTGCTTAAAGCTTCAAACCAATGCAGTGACAGAGGAATTGAAGGAATCCAAGCAAACTCTTCTGCGCCAGGGCTAAAGCCAAACATGGAGGCTCAAGTCTAGGAACAGTCTCTCCCCTATCAGGCTAGTGGCAGRGTGAAGCCCACTGAGCCAAGTCATTTGTATTCTCTGAGCTGGTCTTCTCATCTGTAAAATAGAGGTATTAATGTCTACCTCACAGATTGTTGTCAGGAGCTGCTCAGGTACCATCCTGGGTGGCCAAGCCCCCAAAATGATGAGGTTCCCTATGGAGGCTAGTTGTCCTCTGGGAAAGTGACACGATCACATTTAGATGTCTGTCTTTGAATCTTGACCCCAGAGTTTTATGGAAGCAATTCATTCATTCAAATCAACAAACACACATGGTGGTAGCAAACTATTTTCTCCCACCTTTAAAGGATTCACCCACCAATCAAGTAAAAAGCAAGTACCTTATATTTACTTGGAGGGTGGGAGCCAAGGTCCTGCTGAGGAAGCGATTTCGAGGACATGGTCAAAGCCTCTGCTGCTGCAGTCTGTGCCACCTGATGGCTACAAATYGAGAATGAAAATTCACTTGGCTTTATGTTTCTCATGTCCAAGTGACTGGCTTGCTTGCTTTCTTCCTTTTTTGTGGTTATTTATTTGAAAAATAACATTTCAAAAAACAGCTTATTGGGATGGGGATGTGGCTCAAGCAGTAGCACGATCACCTGGCATGGGGGGGGCCGGGGGGAGGGCCGGGTTCGATCCTCAGCACCACATAAGAAAATGAAATAAAGATGTTGTGTCCACCGACAACTAAAAAATATTAAGAAATTCTCTCCTCTCTCTCTCTCTTTAAAAACAAAAACAGCTTATTCTTTTTTAAATATTTTTTTAGTTGCAGATGGACACAATACCTTTACTTCATTTGTTTATTTTAATGTGGTACAGGGGATTGAACCCAGTGCCTCACACATGCTAGGGCAAGCGCTCTACCACTGAGCCACAACCCCATCGCTCAACCTTATTCCTTTTTGTTTGTTTGTTTGTTTTAGGTGGACACAATATCTTTATTTATTTATATGTGGTGCTGAGGAACGAACCCAGTGCCCCGTGCATGGCAGGCCAGCACGCTACCACTTGAGCCACATCCCCAGCCTTCAACCTTATTCTTAAATGAAAACTCGYCTGAAATTAAAAGACCATTTTCAACTAATAACACATTAACTTTCTTTCCTTTGCAGAACTGAGGATGGAACCCAGGGCTTCCTGAATATTGGGCAAGAGAGGTCTACCACTGAGCTACATCTCCAGCCCAGATCAAAATGTTTGATAATTAGACTTACAAAGATTTGAGAAAATAGGGACTCTTGTACACTTTTGGTGGGACTATCAATTGGCACAATCCTTAGAGAAAGCAATTCAGCCAGTACCTGTCAYAAATTAAAACTGTACAAATCTTCTGACTTAGGAATCCAATTTTATCTTAGGGTTACTCATTCATGCACAATATGATCTATGTACAAAATATTAAATAGAGGCAATGCTTATAATTGCAAATGACTGCAAATAAAAATGTGTCAGCAAGCAATATACTGGTATATATTCACACAATAAAATCTTTTGTAGTTTAAAAAAAAAGAAAGAAAGAAAAGCCATGTGCAGTGCTGCTCATCTATAATCCCAGCAGCTCAGGAGGCTGAAACAGGATGATGGAGAGTTCAAAGCCAGCCTCAGCAAAAGTGAGGCACTAAGAAATTCAGAGAGACCCTGTCTCTAAATAAAATTACAGAATAGGGCTGTGGATGTGGCTCAGTGGTCTCCAAGTGACTTTCTATCCATAACTTCCTAGAGAGATGCAGTGCTTATTTATTTTTCTTTGAAGTACATCCTTGCCTATTCCTGACATAGATGTATCATAATCATCCTTTAAAAAAAAAATTCAGTAACTATTCACAATTTAGTAAGTAAAATGCCATTTCTCCACTGACTTAAAGTGTAAACATACGGATTTTTTAAAATATATTTTGGTTTAAGCTTCAAAGATCCTAATGTGTTAGAATAAAGCAAGTATCAGTTATACCTTTGGGTCAAATGATAGACACTTAAGTACAGCAATGGGATGGGGGAAAGAATGCTATCTCAGCTGCATTAACTATATTTCAGGATAACCACAGATGAAGAAAAAGGTTTTTTTTAGATGAATCAGAGCCAATAATTGCAAGAGAATCAATAGAATGAGAAAACCACCATTTGCAATAATTAATGGTACCCACTGGACTTAACCAGTGACCATCAATAGCTACTAAGACCATTAATTGACAGATCAGATGGAGAATGCTATGATGGAAGGATCAGATTGAAGTGACCAAAACCTCTCCTTACTCTAAATCACTAAAAACAGGACAATCTAATGGTGCCTGACTCCTTAATAAGATGTGACAAGAAGTAGAAAGCATTCCTTGTAGGGTATTCTACCAAAAACCTGATACTGAATCTCATCAGTCCTCAGATCTCATCATTCATTTACAGAAATGACCCATCCATCCATGAGGATACAATTTGCTACATTTTGCATGGGGGGAATTCTATAGGTCAAATCACAAAGTTTCTTTTAAAAAAAATGAATAAATTGCATGAAAAAAAGTGGAGGAGGAGACTATAATAGAGTAAAAGAAACTTAAGAAACAAATCAACTAAACACAATGTCCAGACCCTGTTTGGATGCAGATTGAGATAACTCAACTGTAAAATGTCACTTACGTGACAACGGGAAAACAGGACACTGCTGAGTATTTGACGATGTTAAGGAATTACTGCCAATTGTGTTAGGTAGGTAAATACTATTGTATAGCGTTCCTTATCTGGGGCTGGGGATATGGCTCAAGTGGTAGCACACTAGCCTAGTATGCATGAGGCGCTGGGTTCGATTCTCAACACCACAAAAAAATAAAGATATTGTGTCCACCTTAAAAAAAAAAACTCCTTATCTGTTAGAAACATGCATAAAATATTTGCATGAAAACTAAGGTGTGATTTACATTCAAATATTCCAACCCCCCCCCAAAAAAAAATCACAGGTGATAGTAAGAACAGATGAAAGATGGTGGCAAAACATCGACAGCTATTGATGTCAGATGTTCAGTACCCTAGGTTATCCTTCAATTCTCTCTACTTTTTGCTAGTGTTTGAAATTTAACATGATTCAAACTATCACATTTAAAAATTAAATGCATTACGGAAAAATCGTTTAAAGATCCTTTTGTATAAAATGAAGACTTTTAGGGAATGAGAAAAATCGGCCCCAACTTATCTATATTTTAAACTCAGATTTCCACTCTGTTCTTGTATCTGTAGTGCAGACTGAGAACACGCAGGTTAAGATGCCCATAGAGAGCTGGGGGTGTGGCTCAGGTAGAGCGCTTGCCTACCACATGTGAGGCACTGGGTTGGATCCTCAGCAACACATAAAAATAAATAAATGAAGATATTGTGTCCACCTACAACTAAATAAATAAATAAATAAAATAATAGATGCCCGTGGATTACAGAGTGTGCTGTCATTCAAATCCCCAAGCRCTGCACAGGCCCTCACAGCCCTTGTCCTAGTCCTACAGAAGCTGTGTCCCTACTGGACTGGGGACAGCAGTATTAAAGCTTCTTCTCTGCATGACCCCCAGTGACACCCTTTTCCTCAATCCATTTCATTCATTTACTCCCTTCACTTTTCGTGTACATCCATGAATAATCCAAAACATTTCAAGAGCTTTGAGGAGATGATAATTGGGTACTGAAGGGGAGAGAAAGGGCAGTGAGAAAGAGCTTTGCTAGGGATGACATTTACCCAAAGAAGGACTACAGTCATGCACTGTGTGCTGAGAAATGCAATGTTAGGCCATTCTGCTGCAAGGACCTCATTGGAGGGGTTTGCATAAGTCCGAGGGGTACAATTCACTAGGCTAGGCTATGTGGGTTGGCGGTTGGTGTGTGGCTTGTTGTTGACCAGAACTTCCATATCCTTGTGTGGCACCTGACTGCAGCTACTTAGGTATTATCTCATCCACAGAATGTAAGCTCCACTAGGGCACGAATTACGCTGTAATATTTTTAACTTTATTAATTTGAACATTACACATACTGAAAGGGGGTCTTAGATTAGCTAGATTGATATGATTCTAATTTTTTAAAAAAAATTTTTTTAGTTGTTGATGGACCTTTATTTTCTTACTTATTTTGTTTATATGTGGTGCTGAGAATCAAACCCAGTGCCTCACACATGGTAGGCAAGCGCTCTTCCACTGAGCCACAACCCCAGCCTCTAATTCTAATTCTTGAGAAACTGAATTAAGAAATCCAGAGCAGAGGCTGGGGATATAGCTCAGTTGGTAGAGTGTTTGCCTCACATGCACAAGGCCCTGGGTTCAATCCCCAGCATCACACACACACACACACACACACACACACACACACACACACACAAAGAAACTCAGAGCAGGCTAAGCATGGTGTTGTACGCCTAAAACCCCAGCTACATGGGGGGGGGGGGTTGAGGAAGAAGGATTGCAAGTTCATAGTCAGCCAGGGTAACTCAGTAAAGCCCCATATAAAAAACAAAAAGTGGATGGGGATGTAGCCCAAGCCCAGTGGTAAAGCACTCCTGGATTACATCCCCAGCAGTGTATTTTTTTTTTTTTTTTAAAGCAAGGCAGGAGGAGAAATTCAGAGAATATTAGGCTACTAGTTGCAAAAGTTTGGAACTCTGAGGTTAGAATTCAGTCAATCAYGCATGTAGTAGTCCCCTCTTACCTGAGGGAAATATATATCAGACCAACGTCCCACAACAAGTACCTGAAACTGCAGGTAGTTCTGGACCCTATATCTACTGTTTTTTCCTAATTTATCCTACTTATGATAAAGTTTAATTTATAAATTAGGCCCAGTGAAAGATGATGATGATGATGATGATGATGATGATTTTCTTTTCTGTGCTGAAGATGGAAACTCGGGTCCTCACACTTTGCAAGTGCTCAACCATGGAGGTCTGCCCTCAGTCCTCTGGTCTACTATTCTCTCACTCATCCATGAGTAAAGGGACTGTTCATAGATAATGCAAAAGGGAACTGCAGGGGAAAGCAAGCAGAAGCTTTCCAAGAACACAGGATCCTGATGCATGAGGGATTGATGAGATCAGGGCAGGAACATCTCACACATCTGCCTGCCAGCCATGCTTGACCACACTTACTCTGGCTCCCTTCTCATCTGCTTCGAATCCTGGGAAGAAAAAAATGTCGGCCTTCTGACGACATCCTTTTGAGTCTTGGAAATTATGTTTGTCTGAATCATCCCTTTAAACAGAAAAAAATAAAACAAACAAGAATCAAGAACCAGCCCCAGAAAATGACTCGCTTTTCAGAGGCTACTTACACAGCAGATGTTCACGATGGAAGGGTGTATGTATGGATTTGGATGAAAATTGCCCACGGTTTAAAAAAAAAAAAAAAAAAAAACTTGTATCCCTCACTGTCCTTTTTCAAAGATTCAAAATGCAAAACAGTGAATCAACATTCAGGAGTAATCTAATATTCTTTTTTTCTTTTTTCTTTCTTTTTGTTTTTTTTTTTTTTTTTTGGTACTGGGGATTGAAGCCCAGGGGCACTTTACCACTGAACCACATCCTTTTTATTTATTTTGAGACAGGGTCTCCCTAAGTGCTGAGGCAGGACTCAAACTTACAATCCTCCTGCTTCAGCCTCCCAAATTGCTGAGATTACAGGTGAGTGTCACTGTGCCCAGCCAGGATTAAGCTAATCTGTAAATCAAAATTAGAATGAAAGAGGGCTGGGGATGTGGCTCAAGCCGTAGAGCGCTCGCCTGGCATGCGTGCGGCCCGGGTTCGATCCTCAGCACCACATACAAACAAAGATGTTGTGTCCGCCGAGAACTAAAAAATAAATATTAAAAAAAAAAATTCTCAAAAAAAAAAAAAAATTAGAATGAAAGAGAGCTAGGGCACCAAGATGACATCATTAATTTAAGCTACCCTAAACAAAACATTAGCGATTGTAGGCTGAAATGTGATAGAGCTCATCGATTTTTTTTTTTTACATCAAGTATGAAATGTCGTTTTCAATTCATGCATATTGTAGTCCTGGTTCAGATTACAACAGTGATCCTTTTAAAAAGTAAATCAGCCGGGCCTGGTGGTGTACACCTATAATCCCATCAGCTTGAGAGGCAAAGGCAGGGAAGTTCAAAGCCAGCCTCAGCAATGGTGGGGCACTAAGCAACTCAGTGAGACCCTGTCCCTAAATAAAATACAAAATAGGGCTGGGGGTGTGGCTCAGTGGTTGAGTGCCCCTGAGTTCAATCCCCAGTAACAACAAAACAAAACAGTAAATCACCACACATTGCTGTAAATGACACAACCATGCTGGAAAAGTTTGGTAGTTTCTGATGAATTCAAACATGGGCTGCTACATGACGTAGCAATCCCACTTCTCAACATTATGGATAAATAAAAACCTATCATCTACACCACAACTTGCATATGAATATTCACAGCTACATTATTCTAATAACCAAAAATCGAAATAATCCAAATGTCCATTAGCTAGCGAATGGATACACAAATGACGATAAATTCTCATAATGGAATATTATTCAGCAACRAAAAGCAAAGGACAAAAATATAGATGAGTTCTGCCCTCATCTGAGTGAAAAAAGCCAGCTATGTATAGAGTACATAGTTCCAGAATAGGCCAAACTAATCTATAGGGATTTAAAGCACACCAGCCACAGCTTGTCAATGGGAGTAAAGGGTGTGAGTGAGGGGAAGCAGAAGCCAACTGCAAGGAGGCAGGAGCAAACTTTGGGGGTTTGATGGAAATGTTCTCTACCTTGATGAGAATGGTGGTTACAGGTATTTGTCAGTACTGAGCCAACTGCACACTGGAAATGCATGCATTTTATTGTAACAATTAATCCTCAATAAAAGTGCTGTATAACAAACAACAACAAACAAACAAACAAACAAAAAAACAGCAAACAGAGCAACTCTGGTCACGCTGCAGTGCTGCTCAACATTTTCCCAAGGCTTCCATGTTTAAAAAAAAATCCAGGTTTGGGGAGTGGGGGCTGGGGTTGTGGCTCAGCTGTAGAGCGCTCACCTCGCACGTGCAAGGCCCTGGGTTCGTTCCTCAGCACCACATAAAAATAAATAAATAAAATAAAGTTATTGTGTCCAACTACAACTACAAAAAATAAATATTAAAAAAAATCCAGGTTTCTCTTTGCTTTCATCTTTTGCAGAACTACTTCTGTTCTTTGAAACTTCAAGCTTGGCTGCACCTGCCAGCCTCAGCCTTAGCTCCGCCCTCCCCTGGGGCACCTCCTCCTGTGGGCGAGGGCTGCTCACTCCATTCCAAAGGTTCCTCCTTGGCCCATCCTGGGTGCTCTCACTGTGCCTCCTTCAATCTCTGGTTGCTTTGTCCCCTTTTCATTTTCTCCAAAGCTGCTGCCACTTTCTGAAATTACCTGATCTGCTTACTGGCTCATGGACTCTCACTCCCCTTTAGAAGGTGGGCTCCAAGAGAGCAACTTCACCACTGTGTCCCCAGGGCCTAGGACAGAGTCTGGCACACAGATGGCACTCAAATTCCAATTTGATGAATGAGAAATAGAAAAAACAATCCAGAACAACCTAAACTGCTCTGACCTCTATGAACCAGGTGAACAAAAGGAACTGGCTCAATAGCTGTAAACTCAGGAACGAGGCACTTTGGTTCTCATCTCTCCATCATCCTTTTAAATTGTGAGAGTCATACCTTACCAAAGACAAACAGTCTTCAGGGTTGTTGTTATTACTATTATTTTGGCATCAGGAATTGAACCCAGGGGCATTTCACCACTGAGCCACATCCCCAGCCCTTTGTATTTGTATTATTTTGAGACAGCATCTCGCATCTCGATAAAATGCTGAGGCCGGCTTTGAACTTTTGGTCTTCCTTCCTCAGCCTCCTGAACCACTGGGATTACAGGCATGTGCCACCAACACCCAGCAAGTAAGTCATTTTTTAATTCCATGATCCCATAGAATAGATTTTCCTTCTTGCTTTCCAGTTGTGGTCCACAGGCACATTGCTATAGTGATTATGCACGTTACAAATTTTGAAACCTTTTTCCATTTTAAATATACACATAGAAAAGTACATAGTATCCAGGTTTTCTTTTACTAACCCAGTTTTTATAATCATAGTTTTAAACAACTATCTAATACCCACTGAAATGTAATACCCTTATTTATTTGGTCATCATTCCTCGGGTATTCAGGCTATTCCTATTTTTTTCAACACTACAGAGAAGGCTTCAATAAAGATCTTCACTGCCTAGAGATTCTATTTCCCACTTTCTGGTCAATTATTTCCTAAGGAAGATTTGGGGGGGGGGCGTGAAAATACTAGCACTATTTTAACATCTTGAAATGTGCTGTCGGGTTGCTTTCCAAAATAGTGAGTATAAGGGCTGGGGACGCAATTCAGTGTACAGTGTTTGCCTAGCATGCTCAGGGTCCTAGGTTCAATCCCCAACACCACAGCCAGTATAGTGGTCCTTACAAAACACATTACTAGCCAGGCACGATGGCGCACACCTGTATCTCAGCAGCTAGGGAGGCTGAGGAGGCAGGAGGATCGGGAGAGTTCAAAAACAGGCTCAGCAATGGTGAGGCACTAACAGCTCAGTAGGGCTGGGGATGCGGCTCAGTGGTCGAGTGCCCCTGAGTTCAATTCCTGGTATCCCCCCCAACACATACACACACAAAAAAACCCCACATTACTTAATGGACACTAAGCGGTACAGGACTCAAACGACAGGCACTACCTGAGAAGTCAAGGACCTGTGAGAGACACTTCCTCCAAAATACCTGCAGGGCTGGTCCTGAAGGGCAAGTTTCTGACCCCGGGCAAGGGGTGCCTCGGGAGTGTGCCACTGGGACAGTACTTTCAGAGCGGGGGCAGCTCCTGCCCTGTTTTCTTACTAAACCTAAGAAGAGTAGACAGACTGGTGCATGCTAACCAGAAGAGCCTTCTGGGGTGGTTTAAATAAATATGGCAGAAAGCACAGGGCTTCAGTCAAATGGATGGATGAAACCATTGATCTAGTGATGAAATCTCAAAGGAACAGAGTTTCTAAAACTCGGAAGGTGTCCAAAGGCGCAAGACCTCAATTGTAGCCATCAACACCTGAAAATTCACCTGCCCACCCAGAATCAGAAACTCAGACCAACACAGCTAAAGAATCCCCAAACTTAGTCCAAACTTCTGACTTTCCAGATGAGGATCCGGGCMTAGGGGCACTTTCAGGGCTGCACGGCTGGTGTTTGCCAGAGCCAGGGCTCTAGAACATAGGTCCCACTGCTGCCGGCTGCCACTCCCTCTGGACTGCTCACCTGGCTCCAAAGAACCCTGACCTAGGCTGTTCCTGCCCCCACATGTACAGGTGTGCTGGGGTCCAGCCACACAGGACCCTGCCAGACAAAAACTCACCTTGGAAATTCAGCTCGTAGTTCCGTGACCCTGCCTGGAAGGGCACCACTCCTCTGGGGTAGGACTGGAACATGGACTCCAGATATGTGGAGTYGATGTTGGAACCGGGCTGGTTGTTGCTCTAGTTTAAAAAACAAAACAGGTAAAGACCTCAGAGTAGGCTTTTAGGAAAGCTCGACTGTTAGACCTTAAATGGTTTTATTTTTAGACATGCAATTTGAACAGGAGGGCATCTTGTTCCCAAGCCAGGTGGCAAGGTGGAGCCCAGTCACACCCTTTTGTGGTCTACCCCCTACATTGAAAATTCCCTTGGATTTGTCCCTGACGGGGGATATTAACAAAGGCGTGAGGAATGCTCAAGTAACATGAAGATCTGATCTCTGGCTTCAGGGATATGTGAAGCATCTGAACAGCATAACTGGGTAAAGGGGAGTGTGCTGATGCTGCAAGAGAGCCAGCAAGGCCGCCCTTCCTCGGTCCCCACCCCAGGGCAAGTGCAGCAGGCAAGGGCAGACTGGATGTGAGCCCCTAACAGCAGGGCTTCCCAATATTTAATGGAGGTGAAACACTTGTTTCTTGTGAACTAACACAGAGGGGCTAATGACAGCAAAATCCTGCCGGCAGCTCATGGTGGAGAGCTCCTGCAGGAACGTACAGTCCCTGTAATGACACTGCAGACTCCTGAGCTGTCAGCTGTACCCACTCCCTTGCTCATCCCTAATGGAAATGCCTACTGGATGAGAAGGGAGGGCACCAGAATGAAGGCATCCAAAGAAATGTCCAGCATGGAGAAGGGCCAGAGTTCATCCGTGTAGCTTTGGAGAGCATGTCTGAGCATTCACGCACTTGCACATAATGAAAGTGAGATTAAATCTGAATGCGTTTCAGGAGGTGGAGCAAGAACAAAGGATAGAAGATGTTAGAACTTTCTAACCTGCAGCATACAACAATGAAGTCAGGCCACGAAGGTGTTTATTGCAGTGGCACTGAGATGGGAATGATTGGAAAAGAGATCGCTGCCATGATGATAAGCCTGACAAACCATACATTTTTAAAATATTTTAGTTGTTGATAGACCTTTATTTTACTTATTTATATGCGGTGCTGAGAATCAAATCCAGTGCCTCACACATGCCAGGCAAGTGTGCTACCATTGAGCCACAGCCACAGCCCCACCATGTACATTTTTTGGACCCAAAAATCAACTTAAGTTGGTCAGGCAAAAATATCTGTGGGCCCGAGGGCTTCCCAACCGGCTAGCTGAAGTCTTGTATCTAGCAAATCCCTGTTCAGCTTTGTAGAACCTACCCAGTTCCTAGCTGGAAAAGCCAAAGCCTTTCCAACTTTGATGCACATGTGAGTCACCTAGGAATCTAATAAAAGCACAGATCATGATGAAGGATTTGGGGTTCCACATTTCAACAGCTCCTAGATGATGTTGATGCTGCTGGTCTGTGGACTTCACTTGGATTTGACAGGCTGAAGGGTCTAGACCAGTGCTATTTACTAGAATATTCTGCAATGATGGAAGTGTTCTCTGTGCTGTCCTATATGGTGCTATAGGGAAGGCAAAATCTTGCTTTTACCCTTTTATGGTAAAAGCTGGGCCTTAGAATTAAACCGACARAAGAAAAAGCATACAAATTTATTTAATGCAACTTTTACATGGTGTGGGAAGCCTTCATAAGGAAATGATACCCAAAGTGGCCTCAGAGATAAGAACTTATATGCTGAATTCAACAGAGTAGTAAATTATAAACATGTGACACAGTAAAAAGGCGCTTGGCCTGGGGTAGTGAAGTGGGTGGGAAAGTCGCCAGGAGGATGAGGTTTGCCTAACAGGGCATGTTTGTAGATTTCCCTCTGCCCCCAAGCCCTGCCCTTGATAAGAACATGACCCTCCTTCTGGTAGGGGAGGGTCTTTCACATAGAATTTTGTCACAAACCGTCTGTGGGCTGTGTGTGTACTGTTGTGCATGTGAGGGGATAAGCAGGGCACTGGGAACTCCCCATGGCACCCCCCACAGGGACTGATTGCCTGAAGCAGGTGAACTTCCCCCTCAAGCTCTGCCTGAGCTCCCACACAGCACCCACACAGAGATGGGTGTGACCTGCCAAGATGTCAATCAATCTGCTGACTGCAAGACCTCAGGAAGCAAGACTCCGCCCTGGAAACCTTACCCCTGCCTTTGATGTATCCCCTTAAATAAACCACCAGAGCCATTTTGCCTTTGTCTAGTTCCAGAACCCATATGGACTACATCTATCAGGGGCTTCACTTTCTGGAAATATAGTGCTTTGTCATTTACTCATTATTTGAGATTGTAAGCTTTAGGGTGGCTTGGACTGTCCTGGGCAGGAAGAAGAACCCCTTAATGAGATGCTGGCCATCATCCTCCCAACAGAATTTCATCTCCTGCTTTAAGAAACAGAAGGGAGGGCTGGGGTTGTGGCTCAGCGGTGGAGCGCTTGCCCAGCATGCTTGAGGCACTGGGTTCGATTCTTGGCACACATACAAATAAATTTCAAAAAATAATAAAGGCCCATCAACAGCTAAAAAATATTTTATAAGAAAGAAAGAGAAAGGAGGTCAGACTGATCTTTCTACACCTGCTGTTTTTCAAGTGCCTTAAACTCACAATAGCCCATATTCCAGAGTGGCTTATTTTTAACTCCTTCAGTAGCCTAGCTCAAGGTGGCACCGAGCCTTCAAGATTCGACTAGTGCCATCCACTGTGGAGCTGAGGTCCTGATTTTATTTTTAAGTTTAATTTATGTAAATTTAATAGCCACATGAGGCTAGAGGCCGTCCTACTGGACAGTACCATCAAGTCAATGAGCTGGCTTGTCACCATGCTGACCTTCTTGGGCCTTGTCCACACACTGTACTTGTGTTTGTGCGTCATGGTAAAGTCTCCAAGGGTGACATTTCCCTTCAAGTCAGTCCACACCCACATCCAAGGTGATGCTCAGGCACTGGTTGATGCACGTCCGCAAGGGAATCAGGAGGTCACACAGTCAGCTGACCAGGAGGGGCTCTGTCCAGAGACAGTTCTCAAGGCCGGAGCGTCTTTCTCCTCTCTCACACCTGTGTCCTGTCCAGGTCACCTGCCAGGTGTTGCTTTCGTAAGGGTTCCTTAAGCTTTTCAAGTATGTGGTCTATGTTTGCCCTAGCTCTTTGGAAATCACCAGACAGTGTTGTCTCATGCTCCTGAGTGGCAGGCAGTGACAACTTTGTGAGACACTTCCATTAGTCCTTCTAGCTGTCATTAATTTAATGGCCATCATGTGTCCTAGAGTGTTCTACGGTGCTGCAGTTCCGCATCCATGAGGAGACGATTGAATAAGGTTGGGCCTTCAATTATGTATTCTTCCAGAAAACTTGAATTTATGTCTCAGTTGCAGTGACCAGGTCTTGGCTTCTGTCCTGTGCCTCAATTTTTCCTGAAACCTAGGCTTTCTAGAGCTATAGCTTGCCCTGACTCTGAGCAGCCCTCTCAGGCCTAGAGCCCCTGCCCSTCTTCCATGTCTGCTTCCATAACGCCCACACTTAGCTAAGTTCTGGTAAGCATCTGTGAGCAACTGCATCTGTACACTCCACCTGCTGCAAACCCAGTGATCACCGGGCTCCACTCTCCTGTTATAACTATGTCCTGTTCTATTGCTACCCAACAGGCCAACTGTTCCATCATCACCTCTAACACCACAGCATCTCCCAGTCCACCATCTGTATACAAGTCCTGAAGAAGCTCCTCAATTTCCCTAAAAGGATATCAATTCCAGAAAAATCATACCAAGCAAATGCACAACCCTTTGTTAGTGAAAATTTCTGCACCCCAATTTCCTAGAGAGGTACTCTGGGTTGCCCAACTCTTATTAAATATTTAGTTATAGCCAGGTATGGTGTTGCACACCTAGAATCCCAGCTACTCGGGAGGCTGAGGCAGAACGATCACAAGGCTTAGATCAGCCTGGGCAAATTAGTGAGATCCTGTCTCAAAATAAAACAAACAAACAAAAAAAAAAAAAAAAAAAAAGAAAAGGACTGGGAATGTAGCTCAGTGGTAGAGCACTTGCCCAACATGTGCAAGGTCCTGGTTCAATCTCCAGTATAAGAAAGAAAAAATTAGTTATAAAAAATAAAACCTGCAGGGCACATCTAAAGACAACACAGTGTACTTTCTCCTCTAAACATTCCAACTATACACTGGATCAAAATCTGAACTACAGTAGAGATATGAGAGACACTGAGCTGCTCATTGTTTGGAGTTCAAATCTCCTAGAACTGCCATTTCTATTTTAATTAGACAGCCAACAGGGAAAACACTAAACCCAGGAACTGATTCTTTCCCTTCTTTCTTTTTTTTTTTTTTTTAAATAATAGAAGAGGCAACTCAATGTCACATAATGATGAGTCTAATGAATAAGAAACGATAGGAATTTATTCACATCTTCAATGAATATAAAACGTGTTTCAGATTAAATGAATTCAACATTGTATATACACAGATAAAAAGTTACAGTCTAAAAACTTTGCATTTAATGCAGACTGAACTCCTAGAGAATTTTGTATTAACGAGCTCAAAGAAGTTTCTTGATGTTTTAATAGGGAACACAATCTACCAAAAACTTATGTAAATTTAGTTACCATCTATTCCCCACTGATAGTTCTTTTTGGTCTCTAGGACCATAATGTCACCAGAAAAAAAAAAATGTTTTCTAAACTTTCTTCTTTATCTTACTAAAAATGGCAAGGACTTGACACAGAACTCTTAAGATTTATAATTTACTTTTAGGGCTGGGGATGTGGCTCAAGCGGTAGCGCGCTCGCCTGGCATGCGTGCGGCCCGGGTTCGATCCTCAGCACCACATACAGACAAAGATGCTGTGTCCGCCAAATACTGAAAAATAAATATTAAAGTTCTCTCTCTCTCTCCCTCTTTCTCATTCTCTCTCACTCTTTCTTTWAAAAAAAAAATAATAATAATTTACTTTTATTTTGACCAAGGCCAATTAATTCAGGTTTCTAATTTCTATTCCCTCAGGCACTTCTAACAGAATCTGTGCAGAGTTCAACACCATAGGGGTTTCTCCACGCCACTCAGCAGAACTCTGTTCCAAGAGATGCTACCTGGGCCATGGTGGGGRAGAGCACCAAGGACTCAGTTGTAGGTGGACACAATACCTTTATTTATCTTTATGCTGTGCTGAGGATCCAACCCAGGGCCTCACCCATGCTAGTTGAGTGCTCGATCACTGAGCCACAAGCCCAGCCCCCTCATTTAGGTTCTTGTAAAAGATCACTTGATAAAATGTTTCTGCTAATGAAAAAAAAAAAAAGCAGTTTGGAAAGCACTGTAGGAGTGATGGACAGCAGGACTGTTTACTGCAGAACTCTCCAAGGCACACAGGCTGTCCCCTCCCAGGCCCCGAAGGTTGGGGAGGGAGCAGGGGATTTTGTAACAGATGGTGCTTCTGTTTGCTGTGGCAGCTCAGAGCCCAATTCATAGGTCACTGATTTGTACCTATGTAGAGCCCGAGGCCCCGTATTAAGACCTCCCTCCCCTTTCTTCTCTGCACTCCTCTTTTTTTTTTTTTTTTTTATGCTGTGCATCAAAGGAGAGAGACACGGGACAGAAGTTCAGCTTATCTAAACCTCCACCTGCTGTTTTATATCCCCTCGGTGGGTTTGTCAGCCTAGAACCTTCTAGTTCCAGTCCTTCAAGTCCATCTGAATATAAACCCTGGATACTAGTGACCATCTCTACCAGATGAGGCCTCATTGCTTGGGCAAAATGATACATCGCCTGGTACCACTAACCATCCCATCCTCTCCATCATTCTTCCAGCTTCTCACTCTTGCTCTTTGCTGGCTCAAAGAAGTAGCCTCAGTACATTTAGTATTAATACACATAGAAAGCTATTGTGAGACCCACCCATCCCCAGTGAGGAAAGAGGGGCGGACTCGTGTCTTCAGGGATTCCTTAAAAATGACTAATACTTGGGGCTGGGGATGTGGCTCAAGCGGGAGCACACTCGCCTGGCATGCGTGCGGCCCGGGTTCGATCCTCAGCACCACATACCAACAAAGATGTTGTGTCCGCCGAGAACTAAAAAATAAATATTAAAAATTCTCTCTCTCTCTCACTCTCTCTCTCCTCTCTCACTTTCTCTTAAAAAAAAAAAAAAAAATGACTAATACAGCCAGGCGAGGTGGAGCACGCTTGTAATCACAGTGGCTTGGGAGGCTGAGGCAGGAGGATTGTTGAGTTCAAAGCCAGCCTCAGCAACTTAGCAAGGCCCTAAGCAACCCAGGGAGACCCTCCCTCTAAATGGGCTGAGGATGTGGCTCAGTGGAGAAGCACCCAGAGATCCAATCACCACCACCAATATATTATGTAAATACAAATTGCTGGCACAGCCTTGGAATCCCAGCAGCTCAGGAATCTGAGGCAGGAGGATCACAAGTACAAGGGATTTGTATTAATATATATGTATATTATATATTATATGTAATTATACCATAAGAATATCATATAATTATACTATTATATATAATTATATAATAATTACATAATATATAATAATATAACATATAATATATTTTTTATAAATACAAACTGCTGGTACAGCCTAGTAATCCCAGCAGCTCAGGAGGCTGAAGCAAGAGGATCACAATTTCAAGATCTGCCTGGGAAATTTAACAAGACCTTGTCTAAAAATCAGAATTAAATAAAAAGGGCTCAGTGATAGAACTTGCTTGTACCAGACCCCGGACTCAATCCCCAGTACTGCTTTATATTTTTTAAAAAAAATAGTAATTTATATTTTTGTTTCTGATTGCAATAGGAATATATGCTTGCTGAAAAAATGTAAATATGGCTATGTAAAAATAAAAGCACCATTTCCTCCACAAGGTCCACTCTGCATGGCCAGGCATGTAGACTTCAAATATTTTATTAATAGATTTCCCCCTTCAACTGGCAAGTTTAAGTAACAGCCTCCACAAGGGGAATGGTACTCACCTCCTCCCCATATTCAATCCATTGGTCAGATTCATTCTTCCAATACCAAACCCATTTGGTAGCAAAGACAGAGTTGGCCAAGGTTGTGACAGATGAAGGAGTGGAGAGGCGTTGGATGGGACTCGAGTTACAAGTCATATTCTCGAAATTGATTTTATCATTTCCTACAAAAAAGCTGAGAGAGAAAAACTGTAAAGGAAACACTTCATTGACCTGTTTTCTGCACTCTGGTCTCTTCCGTAATGAGAGCACAGAATTAAAATTTTAGGAGCCAGATGTGGTGGTTCATGCCTGTATCCCAGTGGTTTAGGAGGCTGAGGCAGGAGGGTCACAAGTTCAAAGCCAGCCTCGGCAAAGCAAGGAGCTAAGCAACTCAGTGAGACCCGGTCTCTAAATAAAACACAAAATAGGGCTGAGGATATGGCTCAGTGGCTGAGTGCCCCAAAGTTCAATTCCCAGTACCAAGAAGAAAAAAAAATTAGTGCTGAAAAGGATCTTACACACAGAAGAAAAACTGAAATACAGAAAGATAAAGTAACTTTCCTATGCCACATTTAACAGCATTACAAAGTGTATTCACTTTTTTTTGAGGATTTTTTTTTTTTTTATACCATGGACTGAACTCAGGGACACTCAACCACTGAGCCACATCCCCAGCCCTATTTTGTGTTTTATTTAGAGACAGGGTCTCACTGAGTTACTTAGCACCTCGCTTTTGCTGAGGCTGGCTTTGAACTCCTGATCCTCCTGCCTCAGCCTCCCAGGCCTATGGGATTACAGGTATGTACCACCATGCCCAAATTAAAGTTTTTAAATCGTAGACGGACACAACACCTTTATCTGGACACAACACCTTTATCTTTTTATTTGTCTATTTTTATGTGGTGTTGAGGATCAAACCCAATGCCTCACACATGCTAGGCAAGTGCTCTACCACTGAGCCACAATCACAACCACAAAATGTATTCATTCTTCCTTTAAAAGATATTCTAAAGTAAAACTGCTCACAAAACAACTAATATGTTTAATGATAGAAAGTGACTCAATTGGGTATGATGGCACATGCCTGTAGTCCCTGTGGCTTGGGAGGCTGAGGCAGGAGGATCACGAGTTCAAAGCCAGCCTCAGCAATTTAGCAAAACCCTAAGCAATCAAGTGAGATCCTGTCTCAAAGTAATAAAAAGGGCTGGGGATGTGACTCAGTGGTGAAACGCCCCTCAGTTCAATCCCTTGTACAAAAAAAAAAAAAAGGTGGAAAGTGAATGGCTCATAGTAAGCCAGTTTTGAAAATTATTTATTATTAATAGTTACCAAAGTTTCATCTGAGACCCTTTGAAAGAGCTGATAAGGCCAAAATTACTTTCATAATGATATTAAGACATTTGATTGTTTGCTTTTCTGCTTGCAGGCTTACATAAGGGCACAATGGAGTTTTCTGGAGGCTACGTGATTTATAATCTCACAACAGATTAAATAAAGAAGCATATTAGAGAAACTAATCTATAATGACATTATAGATATTTGCAAATATATAAAATGATGTAACTCTTCTTGATGAATTTTTGGTTTTGGAAAACAGTCATGGTTATAGTTATCTATATGTAGTAACCTACATAACGGTATATATTTATGAATATAATTATATATAAATGTTAGTTATGCTAACCTGAGTTTATTATTGCATTTGTGTAAGTAGATTTATAAATAAATTATTATTTATTTAAATAATAAATAATAAAGCCATATGACAAACAATGATAGCTGTAAATTCACAGAAGCAGAAATTCTTTGGAATCATCAATACATTTTAAGAGTGTTGAGATGAAAACATTTGAGAATGGCTGCTGTAAGAAAGATGTCTTAGATCAGTCGGGGCATCTCACACAGGACCAATTTTAAACCCAGGGACACTTGACAATATATGACTTTTGAAAATAATCTTGGTAATCACAATTGGGGTAGGGTAGGGAGAAGGGAGGATGAGATCAAGAACAGAGAGCAAGCCAGGTAGAGTATCACAAGTTCAAGGCCAACCTCAGCAACATAGCAAGGACCTAAAAAACTTAGATCTGTCTCAGAATATAAAAAGGGCTGGGGCTGGGGATAGGTGATTAAGTACCCCTGGGTTCAATCCCTGGTACCAAAGAACCCCCACAACAAATAATCATCTGGCCCAAAATGTCAATAGTTTCAAGGTTAACCAACTGTCTTAGGGAGTCAAATATATAGTTTCTAGAAACAAAAATAGCTTATGCCGCCTCCTAGTGACAATATTCAGCAACACAGAATCTCCACCAAATATTTAGTCAATTCTGCAGAGGATGAAAAAAGAATGCATATCCCAACCCCCAATCCTGCCCAAAGAAATTCCTGGTAAAACTAGACTGCATCTTCTATCTCTGAACATCACAGGTGAGTGTGGTCATGCAGGTATTACCCATTTCAGCCCTGACCTAGCAGAAATGTAAAGTTACCTCCAAGATAGAGGAAAAAACACAAACACAGAGGTTAGAAAACGTTAAGCACACAACAAACTTCTGCTAACTACATGAGGCTACTCAAATCCTATTTTTAAAACATGATATGAACCCAAAGACTCATTTGTTCTAAATCATTTGATACTTTTAACAATTCTGCATCAAGTTGGTAAGACTAAGAGCCAACCTCTACACTATTGTTCTGCAGAACACCTTGACAAATAACCACTGAACAAATAATCCCATCACTGTTAACTTCACTTGAGTTAGCAGACATTGCCAGACTCCCTAGCACTAGGCAGGCACCTAACCTTAGGCTTTCCTTTGATAAGGAACTCATGAGCCAGGGTATAGTCATCAACTTACCTGTGGGTTTTGGGATCACAATAGGCCTCCTCAAGCTTCTCCATGTAYGGAATGTCCATCCAAGTGTCTGAATTGAATATCTGCCATCGGTAGGGCAGGAGGAAGTGGATTTTGTTACAGTCGCCTACAAAGACAGAGAAGAGAAAACATAACCTAATCAATAAATGGGCTAAGGAACTGAACAGAAACTTCCTAGAAGAAGAAATGCAATCAACAAATATATGAAAAATATTCAACATCTCTAGCAATTAGAGAAATGCAAAACTACTCTAAGATTCCATCTCACTCCAATAAGAATGGCAATTATCAAGAATATAAGCAACAATAAATGTTCATGAGAATATGAGGAAAATGGAACACTCATATGTTGCTGGTGGGACTGAAAATCGGTACAACCACTATGGAAAGCAGTACGGAGATTCTTCAGAAAACTTGGAATGGAACCACCATTTGACCCAGCTATCCCACTTCTTGGTTTATACCCAAAGGAMTTAATGATGAAGCCACATAAATATTTATAGCAGCTCAATTCACAATAGCTAAACTATGGAGCCAACCTAAGTGCCCTTCAATAAATGAATGGATAAAGCAAATGTGATATATATACACAATGGAATATTACTTAGCCTTAAAGAAGATTGAAATGATGGCATTTGTCAGTAAATGGATGGAGCTGGAGAATGTTATGCTAAGTGAAATAAGCCAATACCAAAAAAGAAAAACAAAGACCGAATGTCTTCTCCAATATGTGGATGCTAATTCACAGTGGGGGGGAGGCTAGAGAAGAAAGAGGTACTTTGGATTAGGGAGAGGAGAGTGAAGGGAGGGGAGGGGGTTTGGGGGTAAGAAGGATAGTAGAATGAATTGGACATTATCACGGTATGTGCATATATGACTACATGACCCGTGTGATCCTACATCATGTACAGCCAGAAGAATGAAAGTCATACTCCATTTATGTATGATGTGTCAGAATGCATTCTACCCTCACATACAACTAATCAGAATTTTTAAAAAGTCAGGATGTCTGTAGGTCTACACAGGGGGAGTCTAAACAATTCAACGAAGTCTACTGCTGACTCTCCCCATCAGGGCTGCCTTTCCTCCCTGCCAGGTCTTTGCCATCTGTACCTTTGCTCATATTGGTCCCTGCTTGCACCGCCCCATGTCCCCTATTCAGGTTCCTTTATTCTCCATGAAAATGTAACAGAAAACAAAAATCCCACACTCCCCCTAAACTCGCAGATTTATAGTTACCCTTGAACCCTCCCATTCCCCACATGCATACATGAAGACAAAATGCTCTCCAGAGTAGGCAACCATTTGAGATTTCCTTCATGTCCTGGCCTAAATTTTTATTTTTTTCAGAAAGAATCCCCCACAACCTCTCTCCCCATTCCCATCAGATTGTATTCCCTTAGCAAGTCCCCAAGGCTTTACTTATTTATGCATTGTTCTTTATCTTACCTCCCCTTTGCATAACTGGCACAGGGCTAGGCATGCAAAACACAAGGTCATTAAATGAGTGCTAGCTGACTAACATCAATGTTATAAGCCATAATACAGGAATACAGAAAACAGTTCTGCTTTTCAATTTTTTTCATTATGTGCTGGGTACGGTGGCTCACACCTATAATCCCAGTGACTCAGGAGGCTGAGGCAGTGGACTGTAAGTTGGAGGCCAGACTGGGCAACAGGGTGAAACCCTGTCTCAAAATGAAAAAATAAAAAAATAAAAGGGGTTGGGGGATATAACTCAATGGTAGAGTACTCGCCTAGCATGCACAAGGCCCTGGGTTTGATTCCCCAGTAATGCAAAAATAAATTAATTTAAAAATTTTCACTATGTTCTATTTAAATCACTTTTAAATGTTTTATTAGTTGTAGATGGATACAATATTTTTATTTTTATTTATTTACTTTTAGATTTTTTTTTTTATTTTTGTAGCTATAAATGGACAGCATACATTTATTTTATTTGTTTATTTTTATGTGGTGCAGAGGATCGAATCCAGTGCCTCACATGTGCTAGGCAAGCGCTCCACCACTGAGCTATATAACCCAACCCCTATTTAAATCATTTTTTAAAAATATTTATTTTTCAGTTTTCGGTGGACACAACATCTTCATTTTATGTGGTGCTGAGGATCGAACCCAGCGCCCCACGCATGCTTGAGCCACATCCCCAGCCCTTAAATCATTTTTGAAGTGTTCAAAAGATGTGTGACTATTTAAAACAAAATGGCACCACAGGTGTTATGGTTTGGATCTGGAAGTTCTCCCAAAGTCTCAAGTGCTGAAGGCGTGGTCCCAATGCAGCAAGGTGTTTGGGAAACTGCTGAGAGCCATTGCCAAGTAGGAATGACACATCGAAATTTCCTTGCCAGCGTACCCCATGTTGCTTAGAGGAAGGATTCGTGGAAATGGACTTGCCTTGTACATTTGAAGTGACATTGCATGTAAGTTTGAGAAAGGTGACCCTGCTCAAGGACCAGGGTGGATCCAGGTTTAAGGAGGATCCTACTGGATTAGGGCGGATCAGGTTTTAGGAAGTATCCGGCTCCTAGGGTTTAGGGCTGTTCCAGGTTTAAGGTGCACCCTGCTGGGAATAGGGCGTATCCTGCTGCCTCAGGCAGGCCTGCTCCCAGAGTATTTGGAGAGAACGTGGATTTCCCCAGTGTTTGTAGAGTGCCGGTGTGAGTTCGGGAATAAAGAATTGCTGTTTGAATCTACAAGGCTGTGAGTGGCTCGTGATTTTGTGCCCAGCCAGACTGCGGCAGGAAACAGCTGGATCATGGGGGCTTGGACAGCATCGGTGGGTTCATCCATTAAGGAATTCAGAATTTGGTGGCATTATTGGGAGGCGGTGGAAACGGTAGGTGGTGGGACGTAGTTGGAGGAAGTAGGGCATTAGGGACATGCCCTGGACCTTCCTCACTCTCTTGTCTGCCTCTGGCTGCCATGAGGTGAGCCACTTTGCTGGGCCATGACCTTGTGCTATCCTGTTCTGCCTCATCCCAGACCCAGAAGCAATGGAGCCAGCCAACCACAGACAGAAACCTCTGAACCCAAGAACCAAATAAATCTTTTTCTAAGCTTTCTCAGGTATTTGTCAAGGTGGTGAAAAGCTAACATAAAAGGCAAACCCAGAACGGACGGCTTGAGGATGTAGAAAAATTTGAACCCTCATACATTGCTAGTGGGAATGAAAAGTGGTATAGCCACTAGAGAAAATGGTTTCTCCAAAAATTAAATGCAGAATTACCACACAATCCAGAAATTCCAAATCTGGGCATTTACCCCAAAGGCGTAAAAAAACAGGGTCTTGGGCAAATACGGGCATACTTATGTTCATAGAAGCATTATCACGATGACCAAAAGGTCAAAGCTTGAAAAAAGTCCTTATGTCACTCACGATTAGGCTGGCAGCTCTTATGTAGATAATCTAGACAAATTTCCTTGGAGCCATGATCATCCATCCTAGAAGAGGTGCTTACGGCATCCAATATGGAATCTGAAAGGCAAAACAAAAGAGGACACATGCACGCTGATCTCCATGTTTGAATGAAAACCAAAGATACCAGGCCTATCAATGGGAAATAGCACCTCCAAGGCAGCCCTGTCAAAATTCTTGAGATTCATGTGTTGACTCCTGAGAGCCCAGACAGCCACTCCATAAAATAAAGTATGGACACCAGGGCCACACGAGAGCTATGGTCATTTCTGAAATTGTAGTCAAAGGATTCTAATTCTCAATAAACCCAGCGGCTTATTCCATGTGGTTCTACCGTTTAGTCCTTGCCTGTCTTCATACAGTAGGCTTCTTCACCAAAACCTCTAATTCTAGCCCCGTTAAAGGAAAAACTACAGCCACGGGCACTCTGCTGCAAACTCAAGATACGGGTCTGAGTGACTCTGATGAGTAACTTAGGCTGGGCAGGCTAAGAGAGGCCTAGGAGAGTCATGACCATGGGTCCCCCAGGACACAGCTCTGAAAGGTGGAGGCGACTGAGGCAGACTGCCAACTCATAAGGGGGCAGTGGTTTCCCCAGATGGGGCTGGGAACTGGCTTCTCAGATTCTGACTTCTAGAATATTCACCCCATGGCTGCTGTTTTTAAGCCAAAACCAGCAGCACCAGTTTTATCTACATTCGTAGTTTCATCCATTACTTGACTAGAGCCCTTTGGTGTGATAGACACAGATCTACTACCCCCAAATGGGGTCCCCTCTACATTTACCATTACAAAATGCCACTCCTGGGTCATTTCTCATTCGGGCAGTGGTGTGCACTTCTTGGGGAGCAGCTCCATTGCCCTGTTGATTCCTAGCTACCGCCATCTCTCTCTGGCTGCCGGTTGTGGTTCCGTGATTTAGAAATCTTGCGGAAGTTATATCCATGGTCGCTCCATCATAATTATTATTAAAAAGAGGGACATGCCGCTGAGTGTCCTGAGTCCCATTCTTGCCCTTGACATTCACAAGGTCTGGGGAGAGGATGGCAGTGCTCTTTCTGGTAGTTACGGTTTCAGGTGTTTTCCCCAAACCAAGAGGAGAGCCCACAGCAGCTTGACCTGGAAAAAACACATCGTCTCTCCTGGTGCCTTGGTCGTTCTGCCAGGTTGGGGACCCCTTCTGGCTGGAGGACGGCATTGAATCTGAATGATTCCTATAAAAGAGGCGATCTGAACTTCCATTCTCTGAAAACTTCTGGCTTGACCCCACCTGACCTGGTCCTCCAAGACCAGGTGCCTTAGACAAGAGGGAGGAAGGTGGAGTGCGATCCTGATCCTGACTCCCCAGATACGTGAACCTGTGGGTGAGGTCACCGACCCCCACATCCTTCAGGAAAAGCCTTTGGCCAACAACATCTGGACTGGATGTGCGGGAACTCTGAGCAGCCCCTGAGGCAGATGGAGGAAATTCTTGGCTCTCCGGCAGGAATCTGTCCCTACTCTTGCTTCTACCTCTAATCATCCCAGCTCTACGGTGCGGGGTAGGAGCTGCAAAGAGAAAAGCAAAATGAAACAAAATCATGAAAATTCATGTTCATTGCTGCATGATTGGGTTCCTACCACTATGCCTCCTCTCTGCTTTCCCACCTTGATATTCAAGGTGTATTAATCTTCCTGTCCTAATTTGGTGTATGAAAATCTCGAGGAAGAGTCCTTAAGGATGAAGGGAGGCTCCTGATGTGAGGGAGGGCCCGGGTTTCTCTCTGGGGACTCAGAGGTAGACCTTACTCCCCACCCTCTAGGTGGCGCTGTGCGCTGCTCTGAGTCAGCCAGTATTGCTAGGGTGAATGCAAAGGCGGAAAGGGACAAAATCAGCTAGATTTCGCCCACAATGTAATACGAATGTACCCAATCATCTAAGGATTCATAATACTAAAACAGAAAACCACATTCTCAAGGTAGGATTCATTTAAGCTAGAAAGTTTTACAGATTCCTTCATTAACCCCCCCCCCCCCCCCCCCCCCCCGCCCCAATGCCTAAGCTTAATAGCAAACATAAAAGTTGAGCCAGGCGTGGTGCTGCACCCCTGTAACCCCAGGGACTCAGGAGGCTGAGGTACTGGGGTCACTAGTTCAAGGCCAGCTAGTGAGACCATGTCTTAAAAGGTCTGGGGATGTAGCTCAGTGGTAAAGCATCTCTGGATTCAATCCCAGTACAAATAAACAAACAAAATTAAAATTGACAAAGCAATGGCTTTTCTCTAGAACTGGGATGAGTCATATCCTGGATGGAGCAATCATGTGTTTGTGAGTGTGCATGGAGTGTGTGTGATATACATGTGTGCCTGTGACGAGTGTGTGTTTGTGTGTGTGCCTGCATGTGTATTTGTCTACATGTGACAAAAAGCTATCCTCTGTTCAGGCAGCACTGTGGTGTGGGAGAAGAGCATTAGGTATGGAATCAGAGCATGTGAGCTCTGCTACTTTCCGGTGGTGTGAGGGCTGAAACATGCCTTTTAAATATATGTCATCTTACTTTCCATCCTTTTAAAAATGATGTAAGGCTGCCTGCAATAAAGGTTGCTTAAAAATTATCATATCTGACTTACTACCTTATGAATAAATATCAAAGTTGCTTAAAACTTCTAAGCCTCAATTTCGTTGCCCCTTATGTGTGTCTAATAAATAATACATCTACCTTTCTTCATAGTTTTGCTGTGAGGAACAATGAGGTGCTTTAGGTGAGAGTCCCTTTTGTAAATGATAAATCATTCCCAGATATAAAGAAGTATAATTGCTCATTATTTTTTACAGGGTCTTAGACCCATGTATCCTATGTACTTCATAAAATTTACTTCTCCTACAGTTAATTCATAAAGACCAAAAAAAAATTGAGATTAATCCCATTACATAAAATAGAAAATGCTTAAGAAATGGTCTCTCCACACCCATGAAGATGGCCATTGTAAAAAAAAAAAAAAAAAAAAAAAAAAAAACAGACAATGAAAAGTGATAGAGAGGGTGTGCAGAAATCTTACCCTTGTGCACAGCTGGCAGAAAGGAAAACTGGTGTAGCTGCTGTGGAAAACCACGTGGCAGCTCCTCAAAAAATTAAATGCAGGATTACCATAAGATCTAACAAGTCTCCTTCTGGTTATAGTCCCAAAAGAAATGAAAACAGGGTCTTCAAGAGATACTCATACATCCACATTCACAGCAGCATTTTTCACAATAGGCAAAACTAGAAATGACTCAGACGTCCATGAAAAAACAATTAGATAAACAAAATGGGGTATATCCAGATGACAGGATATTATTTAGCCTTTTAAAAAAAGAATTCTGACCATGCTATGACATGGATGACTCTGGAAGACCTTATGGTAAGTAAAATAGCCAGTCATAAAAGGGCAAATATCCTAGTAGCTCGAGAGGCTGAGGCAGGAGGATTATGAGTTCAAAGCCAGCTTCAGCAAAAGCGAGGTGTTAAGCAACTCTGTGAGACCCTGTCTCTAAATAAAATACAAAATAGAGCTGGGGATGTGGCTCAGTGGTTGAGTGCTCCTAAGTTCAATCCCAGGGTCCCCCCCCAAAAAAAAAATAAGGGCAAATATGACATGCTTCCACCTATATGAGATAGGAAGAGTTGCCCAATTTATAGAGACAGAAAATAGAATGCTTGGGAAGGGGCATGGGTGTTAGTTTTCAAAGACAGAGTTTCAGTTTTACAAGATGAGAAAGTTCTGGAAATGACGGTGTGAAAGTAATTAATATTACCTCAGCAAAAGGAGGCACAAAATAACTGTCAGTGAGACCCTGTCTCTAAATAAATAATAGGGCTTGGGATGTGGCTCACTGGTCAAGTGCCCCAGAGTTCAATCCCAGTACAAAAAAAGAAAGAAAAAGAAAAAAAAAAAAAAGAAAGTGTACACAGTTTAAAAAGAAAAGGTAGGAAGAGGACCAGCAATTTAGAAAAAAAAGAAAAAAGAAAAGGTATTTACCTCTCGGCCCAGAAGGGTTCCTACGGGCATGTTTGTTGTTGCAGATGTCCTGGATGTTTTGGACCACATCTGGGCTCAGCCCGTGCTCCTTCATGATGGCCAGCACCTTTCTGTCCATCAGGTTATGGGACCTCAGGCAGTTGAGGTAACTACAGTTCCCTCGGGTGAAGTGCTCACAGATGTGGAGTCTCTCGCATGGTGGCTGCTGGCTACAAATCTGCTTTCGACCTTCTCCTTTATAACTTTTGCAAATCTGCAGAAGGGAAATACAACAGCCAGAGATAAAACATCTTTGTATATCTGCCATGCCTTCATTAAGGAAAGTTCAAGTGCACAAATATTTCCAAAGCAAACAGATATGCCAAGAGGAGGAAAATCCATGCATATCCCACAATCTCTGATGAGGTGCATTCAATTGATGGCTTATTTGGGATAGAAAAAGGTCTGCAAACTAATTATAAGATAGTGATAAATTTGATAATCCTGGGCTGGGGATGTGGCTTGAGCAGTAGTGCACTCGCCTGGCATGTGCAGGGCGCTGGGTTCGATCCTCAATACCACATAAAAAATAAAATAAAGATATTGTGTCTACCTAAAAAAAACTAAAAACTAAATATTTTTTAAAAAATTTGATAATCCTTGATAGATGGCCAACTGCAATAGAGTAGTTGAGCTCTGCATTATGAAAGAGCTCAAAGACAACAGTCTAAGTTTTGCATATCAACTTACTTTTCAATTAAAAGGACATGTGTTTTACCAACAACTGTAATTCAGAATTTGATCTCTGATTGGAAGAATGTTAAGTATCTAAAATGATAAACTAAAGAATAAAAGTCCTGGGGCTGGGGATGTGGCTCAAGCGGTAGCGCGCTCGCCTGGCATGCGTGCGGCCCGGGTTCGATCCTCAGCACCACATACAAACAAAGATGTTGTGTCCGCCAAAAACTAAAAAGTAAACATTAAAAAAAAAAAAAAAGAATAAAAGTCCTGCATTTTTATCTAAACAAATATTATCTACATATCTTGGTCTACAGGGATGGAGTTCCTAATGAGATGCAGAACACTGTCACTGAGGCCCAGCCCTATGATGCAGGACTAAAAGATACCAGTGTAAAGTGTGAGCCCCTAGAAGCAGCTGGAGGACCTCAGGGGACCCACCTACCAGTTCCTGTTTCCTTTGCTGTAACGGACTGAAATGTTTGCCTCATCTACCTAAACTGCACTGTTAAGTAGTCAAAGCAATATGACTGTGTTGTGCAGAATAAAGTGTGATACAAACATAAGAACCAAGAATGAGAAAACTGATAGGATTAGTAAAAATCCTGAATTTCAGACATTTTAAAAATAAACACATTTATAAGATGCTTCCATGAGCTCTGTACAAAATAGATGAACATGGTTCCCCATAATTTGTCTAACGGATACCAGACAGACCCCAGGAACAGTCATTTAGCCACATAGCTTCTAAAGTCAGATTCAAAGATTCAAATAGATATGATCGCTATAGAGTCTACTCTCCAGATTCTAGGCTCTCCATCTCTAGTTTTCTCAAAGTGTGGTCCTTGGATCAAGCACCTCAGCACCATGTGGACACCTGTTAGGCTTTTCCCCATATTTACATGAACCACCAGAGATGGAGCCCCCGTATCTGTGTTTTAACAAATCCTCCAGGTAGTTCTGACACATGCCAAGTTTGAGAATGAGTGTCCTGGAGATTCTAATGAAAAAGAACAACTAGCAACTTGAGAAATGATGCTTTGGTGTAACATTCCTGTTAACATGCTGATCCTAAAGCAAGAAGGCTCTGGCCTTAAATACGCCAGAACAAATGAAGTCATTCCTTCCTTTAATAAACAAAGGTTTACAACGATGTGTTTTATATGATTAGTAAAAATCCTGAATTTACATACCAAGAAGTCAGATTTGCCTGATGTTTTCATGTTCTCATGGGTCAAGGCTTAATGGAAAAGAAGGGTCTATTAAGTATTTTAGGACAGAGATTATGTCTTGTTCACTTCTGCCTTCAGGGAAAGCACAATGTCTGACAATTGCACTTCTAAATTTTAAGTGAATAAATGTAAAAAAAAAAAATTAAAACAGTGATACCCAGAGGGTTCAAGGCCTTCTCAATTAAAACAGTGATACCCAGAGGGTTCAATGCCTTCTCCAAAGTCCCAGGGGTAGTTAAAGGCAGAATAAGTCTCAAGAGATGTCAGAGGGCTGAAAACATTCCACCGTGGCCCTCAGGTCCCTGTCCACCTTTCCCAGCCACAGCTGATCCTCTACACTCCCTCTGGTGCTTAACTTAGCCCCTCTTTCACATATCATGTATCATCCAAATTACAGCTGGGTATGGTGATGCAAGCCTGTATTCCCAGTGACTCGGAGGCCGAGGCAAGAGGATCATGAGTTCGAAGCCAGCCTCAGCAACTTCACAAGGCCCTGTGTAACTCAACAAGACCCATTCTCAAAATAAAAAATAAAAAGAGCTAGGGATGTGGCTCAGTGATTAAGCGCCTCTGGGTTCAATCTCTGGTACAAAAAAAAGAAAAAAGAAAAAAAAAAATCACCTCTCATGTCTTAGTTTCTAAAATGCTCACAGAAATACACTGAGTTCACAGTCAAAAAGTGTTTAATCACCACGAAGTCTCCAGCAAGTCTCCTGTCCTCTGTCACTGAATTCCAACCTCCTTCCCTTCCGCCCACTCCATCTGGATCCTCTATAAGTTTCTGTGCCTCTCTTTCAATATGAGGCTAACTTCTCTACTCAAGGATTTTTCTCAGGTCAGATACCTCGCCTTGAACAGTTCCTGTAATGCTCAAGTGTACACGGCCAAATGAATGAGACTTGATGATCCATCATTGCCCCCATCTTTCTTCTAGAATTGGAGGCCCCCAAGGTTTAGATAGACAAATGATCACTGAGCCAGAAAATCCATTTCCTACCTCTGTTCTGGCTAAGAATGATCATGTGATAAACTCTGACCAAGAGGTGTGAGCAGATGTGCTATTTACATTGCCCATGTCACATCTTTTATAAAAGAAACTGCCTGCCTTCCATGTACCACCTCTCTACCTTCCCCCTGGCTAGAACATGGTGACCAATGGGAACAGCTGTGTAACTAGAGGAGGAAGACCACATTTTGAAAGCAACAAAGCTGACCTACTGGCCTGAGTCTCTGGATGACAGTGTGGAATCCAACTGCCTGACCACCCAGGTTACCTGCCTGCCCATATGCAGGCAAGAGTTGGCAAACTTATCTGTAAAGGACCAGATTTTAATATTTTAGGCTTTGAGGCCATCCAGTTTCTGTTGCAGCTACTCAGATTGCCCTCTCAGAATGAAAGCAGCCACAGTGACAGACAAATAGAAGTATATTTTATTCAAGTCACTGCAATGGGGAGGGAGGGTCTCTGTTACAACAGCTTAACCTCTTCTTCCCCATCATTTCCCCAGCCTCTCTGCAGAGGTCACCCAGGTGGAAAGCATCGACTGGTCCTCTGACTATCGTCTCCAGCTCATCTCACTCACACAGGGTTCCCCAGCAGCCTAGCAGTGGAGGCATCCCAGAGCCAAATGCTTATTAAGACTTTGAATAGGGAGGAAATTGCTGGAATCTCTGAGGTCACTCAGCAGCAGCGCTGGCTGCCACCCAAAGAGCCCTGGTGTCAACCATGAGTGTCTTTCTGCCCCTACCCAACGTGCCCATGATACGACACTGCCAATACTACTCTCCCTGCTGTTCAAGAGGAACTGTAACTTACCTCAGGCATAAAAAACGGGTCGCTTTGGAGGAGGAGTACAGCTAATTGCTCTTGGTTAAGTCCAGAGAGCTCGTGGTTTTTCAGGACTTGGAAATTCTTTTCTGAGAGAACCTCATGAGAATATTTGCATAAATTCCTAGAAGAAAACATGACAATCGTCAGTGTTTCCACTTCACAAACAGTAAGAAAAAGAAACCATCCAGCTTGCAGAAGACAATTTTTTTTTTGTGTGTGTGTGTGTGTGTGTGTGTGGTGCTGGGGATTGAACCCAAGGCCTTATGCATGCAAGGCAAGCATTCTACCAACTAAACTATATCCCCAGCCCCCAGAAGATAATTTTGAAAGATAAATGTATGAAGCACATAGATTAGCATGTATTATTCATAAATTATACATGTGTATACACATGCTGACTTTAGTTATTGTAATACTTCTCTGAATAGTATCTCCTGGTAATCATTTGTGTATAGTTCAGAAAAGTGAAGAGGAAAAAAATGTTAAACAAACAAAAATCAATCTATTAGAAATTATTACCCATTGAGAAATGGAAAGATGATAAAGTCAAGAAAATAAGAGAGGTTCATTTACTTAACTTTTTTGTGTGTATGTGGTACTGGGGATTGAACGCAGGAGAGCTTAACCACGGAGCCACATCCCCAGTCCTTTTTAATATTTTATTTAGAGACAGGGTCTCACTAAGTTGCTGAGGCTGCAATCCTCCTGCCTCAGCCTCCCAAGCTGTGTGCCACCACACCTGGCTGCATTTACAACATTTTAATTATGTGAAATTGTTCATTGATTAATCTGTTCTGATTTATATATCAGTGTATACCTCTATTACTTGTGACTAAACATGAATAGAGGAAGCTCTTTATATTCAAACTACTCCACCGAAAAAGATGGAAAAATCTTCTTTTCTTTAGGTCACTAATGAATTATGTCAGCAGTGTCCAATGCAACATTCCAAGATGATACAGTTGACCTACAATCAAGATTTTGAATATTTAAGCCATGCATGGCAACTGAGCACTTGATATAATCACACTGAAATCTGAGAATTGCTGACTTAGAACATGGAGAAACCCAAAGAACACTGGTGCTCGCCTCAAACAAGCATAATTTGACAGTTATCAATGTCCACTTATTCCACTTCTTAGTTTACATATCCCTACATATATCATGGAAATCCTCAGGTTTATGGTTTTAATAGTTATTGATATGATGGTCTATTAAAATTTTCTAGTTTGGACAGCCATAATCAAATTGACAGACAGGTAATGGCCCAGACTTTCACTATTTAAGTAGAGGGAATACAATTATCTGTGTACAAATAGCCCTCCTTTTTTACATTATTTCCTTGAGAGCTATTCCCTTGGGAATATTGCCTCAAGTGATACAGTAATTTTCTTGACAGCTTGTTTCACTTTGATCCATTGGTCTCTGTAAGACATGCCAGCCATTTGGCAGTGTCTATTTCCCCACAAGCACATTAACTTTTATCAGTTTTACTACTTCAGTAGGTATAGAGTAAACTTATACTTTTACTAATAACCACTTTTATTATGAGCAAGACTGAAATATTCTTTTTTTTTTAAGAGAGAGAGAGAGAGAGAGAGAGAGAGAGAGAGAGAGAGAGAGAATTTTTTAAATATTTATTTTTTAGTTCTCGGCGGACACAACATCTTTGTTTTGTATGTGGTGCTGAGGATCAAACCCTGGCCACACGCATGCCAGGTGAGCTCGCTACCGCTTGAGCCACATCCCCAGCCCCTGAAATATTCTTAAATGTAGGTGTGAAGCTTGTGTTTCCTCTCATTAATATTTGTTTCTATTCTTGAACTGTTTACCTAATAAAGATACTGATCTGCAGATTTGCAAAGGTTCTTTATATTTCTTTAATATCCATTTTACCTATCTTGTTTATTTCAAATAGTTTTGCATTTCTTTTTTCATTGAGAATTGATTAAGGTTGTCATTGCTAAATATTGATACAATCAGGTCCTCCCCATTCACCACTCATAATTTAGCCTATTGTTTAACAGTTGGGAAAATAATTCATATGTACACCACTTCTCCTCTCTCTCTCTCTCTCTCTCTCTCTCTCTCTCTCTCTCTCTCTCTCTCTCTCTCTCTCTATGAATTGAACCCTGTGGTGCTTAACCGCTGAACCATATCCCAGCCCTTTCGCTAATATAAAGTTTAGAGACAGGGTCTCACTGAGTTGCTTAGGGCCTCACTAAGTTATTGAGGCTGGCTTTGAACTTGTGATCCTCCTGCCTCAGCCTTCAGAGCTGCTGGGATCATAGGTTTGCGCCACCATGACCAGCTTAATACTAATTCTTTAAAATATCTGAAACTTACTAATGACAAAGATTGTCAAAGGGGGATATATGTGTTTTGTATCAATTTTTCAATAACTTCTATTAAATGATTCCTTTGTTGTTATCCTGGACTATTATACATTAATCTTTTATAAAGTTTAAAACTACTGGAACCCCTACTGTGTGTGTGTGCACGTGTTTGTTTTATCATTCTGCCATTTTACTTTGAAACCAATACCATAATACCATATAATTCAAAGGTCTTTTATGCTATATTTTAAATTGTCAGAGTAATTTACGATATTGTTATCTCACTCCTTTTTGCTTCAGTGTGCTTAACTGTTTCTCCTTAAAATTTTATCAAAGTTTTGTCAACAGCATAGCAGAGATCTTATTTCTGTTAACCCCATAAATCCCACTGCATATTAAACATGTCGTGTTAACTACCTTAAATTTTCTGATTCAGGAACCCAAGATACCTCTCTACTGCTTCAAGCCTTGTTCTGTTTTCTCAACTTTTAATTAAAAAATTTCCTTTAATAATCGTCTCCTTTTTCCCAAATATTAAATATTATCTGATGCCACTATTATTTTTAGTTGTTTGTCGCTGATAAACAGAAATGCAAAATGACCTTATTGAAATTGGTGATTTTTCAAAAATGTAAACGTCTAGACAAAAGTTATTTTCTAAGCATTAATTGTTAAAGGTCACTTATCCAAATATTGCCTGTGTGTGAAACATTTCTGAAACCCTCCGGAATTGCCTTCAGATCTAGCAATAGAACTTCTAACAAAAAAAAAAAGCCACAGAATCAACAACCCTGTCAGCCACCTGCTGAGCTCTGGCGCCCTGGCCAGCCATGCCATGTACCATGATTCATGAACAGCTCAAGGGCAGCTGGTCAGTCTCTGGCAACAGCCTCTACCCAGCCATTTTCCCAGGCAAGGCTTCTCCTTGCTTTCTCCACCAATGACCTTGGCTTTCAGCATGTTTCTGGCGCTCCTTGATAAGGCAGACCTCAACTATCTGCTGACTTCTGGATTGGGCTCTGTGGTTTCAGATAACTGCTCCCGACCGACCAACCTCCACCTCCCCAAACCCCCTGCAGCTGGGCTAAGACTCTGCCTTATCCTTCACTGCCCCAGCCCACAGGTAGTCTCCTGCTGCCTCCAGTCAAAGCAGGAATGGCTCCATCATATCTTGACCAGACCTTGGGAGGCATCTCACTCCCTGGTTCTCAGAACACTGCCATCAATGTTCCTGTTGATATTGATCTGAAAATGATATCACTAAAACACTCCCATGGACAGACTAAGGCTCTGCCATCTGGCTCTGAGACATTGATTAACTGTTGGCCACTGGAATAAGGAATCCCTACTTTCCCTTGGGATCCAGTCCAGACATCCGGAACATGGAGCCCAGCTGATGGCATCTCTTGCAGGTCACATGGAGATGCAGGATTGGTTGTGCCTGTCCTTACCAAGGACATGTCACTCCCAAGGTCCCTGAACTCACCGCTCTCTCTAAAAACCCAAAAGCAGCCAGGCAGCTTAATGGAGATCTGCTTGGAACCCTGAGTGACTAGGACTTTCCAAGCCCACCCAGGTCATTTGTGTCTGGAGGAAGAGTCACACCTAGCATGCACTGCACTGGCTGGAGTCCCCGACATGACCCCAGTGATGGCCCAGTTACACTTCTCGTTTCTTGTCTTGGGCCTCCAGAAAACTACTTATTCCTTCAGATTCCATCTACTTAAAACCTGTTTCAAACTGCAACATGTATGTCTAGCCTTGGTGGCCCTACACCTGGTGGCCCACTGTTTCTCCACATTCCCCAGATGTCCCCCAACTGCTTCTTAGGGGTTTTATCTTTGCCCTAATTGCAGCACATTGATCAGCCACCAAGGAGGGGAAATTTGTCCTCACATTCTAGTTGGGGGCAAGCACAGAGTGACAGGAACTTTACATCTATTACTTAATTTAGCCATCAAAATAATCCTATTTTGGGAAACCGAAGCTGAAAGATGAGAAGTTAAGGGTGACTCAGATAAGGGGAGATCTGATTGTTGAACTCTGATCTAACAACAAAAAGATCTGAGACTTTTCTAAATCAAAAAGAAGAAAAATTACCATTTTGGATTATTGAAGCCACTATTCCTCTTTACTGCCTTTTTTTTTTTTTTTTGGTGGGGGTGGGATACCAGGGACTGAACCTAGGAGCACTTAACCATGAGCCACATCCTCATCTCTTTTTGTTTTATTTTGAGATAGGGTCTTGCTAAATTGCTTAGGGTTGTGATAAGTGGCTTAGGCTGGCTTTGAACTTGCAATCCTCCTGCCTTGGCCTCTTGAGCTGCTGGGATTACAGGTGTGCACCACAACGTGCCTGGCTCTACACTGGCCTCTTGAGGACTAATACTTCTCATAGTGTGGTCCTGGGTACAGCCTCCTCTGCATCAATCTGAGGTTGCATAAGAGCAAGTTGTGGGAGTCTCCTTCCAGACCTACCAGGTGATATTAAAAACTTTTAGCATTCATTGGGATCATGTAGAGGATTTGTTAGAACAAAACAACCAGGCGCAGTGGCACACGCCTGTAATCCCAGCAGCTTGGGAGGCAGAGGCAGGAGGATTACAAGTTTAAAGTCAGCCTCAGCAATTTAGCAAGGCACTAAGCAACTCAGTGAGACCTGTCTCTAAATTTAAAAAAAAAAAAAAAAAAAAACAGCCCCAGAATTTGTGAACCACTGGTCTGGGGGCACTCAGAACTGACGTGTGTGGCAAGCTCCCAGATGATCCACTGAGCAAGTTCTAGG